CCAGGGGGAGGATGCGGGCCAGGAATGTGGGCTCCACTTTCACAAAGGCCTGCCCGGGGCACTTCCCAAAAGTTACTGAAAACATGCACGTTTGGCACAGAAAGTTTTGAAATCCACATGAAGTTTGTCCGTGGTACGCATGTGCCACAAATGGCTGAAGATCCCCCATGTGTATGGATTTTGGAATTCTTCCTGCATCAGAATAAGGTTATGTTTTCATTCCCACTCCCAGGAACTTTTTCAAGAACTCGGGTAGGTGAGTTAGTGGGATGAAAGGTTCAAGGGACAACGACTCAGGAAAATCCCACCCAGGGACCCGCTCATGAAAAGACTCTCAGACGCACAGCCAGCAACTCCAGCTCCTGCGCCTTCCTCACAGTGCCCAGAAAACACACTGGGAAGGGAAGAGGGGGCCTGGGTCCCGCAGAGGCTGTGGGGCTCCGGAGAGCTCTCCTGGCCTTGGCCTCGGTTTCCTGCCTGCAGCTGATTCTTGCCATCCTCGGTTGTGGGAAGAAAGCCCACCACAGACCTAACGCATCACTGTCGCTGGGAAGAGCTGGAAAGAAATGCTTCTTCCGGCTAGGGACGGCAGGAGTCCCTCGGAGGCCATATTTTGGGGCCTTCTACATGAGAGATGGCAAAGAGAGGCGGGCTCTGATGTGGCTGACCTCTCTGGGGCCAGCAAAGATTCCAGCTGCCCCATGTACTCTCTCTTCAAATGGCCATATCCCCAGGAAAACGACGAAGCCTCAGGAGGAAGAGACAGCTGTTCCTTTTCAAATCACGGACCGTCGTCTAGAAAAGCCAAGTTGCTGTTTTTTTCCAGGTCCTATAAATTGGAGATAGGAGTTTTCCCATCGATGTGCGTAAAATTCCACCCAAAAATTGTGCTTTGGGAGCCCTGCCCAGGTGATCAGAAAGGGCACTTGTAGAGAGGTCTGAGGATCCCTCAGGCGGCGAGAGCTCAGGGTCTTGTGCACACAGTGGGTGGGGCACGGTCGGGCTGTCTCCATGCAGGCAGACGGTTGCCTGGGCGGAGGTACAAGGAGCTACCTGGAAGGTGCCGGCAGGCACTGGTATGAACCAGAGCGGAAGGCCTGGCATCCTCTCCAGATGTGCTCACTGAGCAGGAGGTCACGGGTGAGCTGGCACAAACCACAGGGTCAACAGAGGGATGGGGGCGGGGACCGAACTACTGTATCTCCTGCAGGCCGAAGAAGAGAGGGCCTGGCCCAGAGCCACTCCCAGCCTAGGGCACAGGGCAGTCTGGCATCACAATCGCCCAGCCTCACCCTCCTCCCATCGAATACTCACCCCTGATCCTAATCTAGCTGCCCAAGTCCAAATCACCCCTGGCCACGCCGGCCAAAGCCCGCTGGTCGCCACGGCAAGTCCACTTTTCACAACAAATGCTACTGTGGATCAGCATTCTAGTTTATACAGTAGTCTGGTAACCTGAGCTGGAGTGAATAAGCCCCAGAGAGACTTATCCAGGCTGAGGGGCGTGGAAAGAATCAACCGAGGCCAGCACAGCTGTGTAGCAGGTAAAGCCACCGCCTGTAGTGCCGGCACCCCACATCGGCACCAGATTGAATCCCGGCTGCCCCACTTCCAATCCAGCTCTCTGCTATGGCCTGGGAAAGCAGTAGAAAATGGCCCAAGTCCTTGGGCTGCTGCACCCATGCGGGAGACCCAGAAGAAGCTCCTGGCTTCGGATCAGCACAGCTCTGGCAGTTGTGGCCATCTGGGGAGTGAACCAGCAGATGGAAGATCGATCGATCGATCTCTCTCTCTCCCTGCCTCTCTGTAACTCTGCCTTTCAAATAAATAAATAAATAAATAAATAAATATTTTTTTTAAAAAAGAGTGTGGCTCTGAAGCCATCAAAAAATAAGAGTAAAATAACAACATTGGTCAGGCTTTAAAAAAAAAAAAAGATTCAATCATGTGAACTTCAGACAGCTGCGAGCCACACTGGCAGAATCCCCGCATGCAGCCAGCCCCGAGGGCCCCTGGTAGCCCTGCAGCCAGCTTTTGGTCTTACCAGCAGCAGCACGCCGCCTTCAGATTGCCTGAGAGCGGGCCTGGTGCCCTGTGTTATCATAGGCCAAGGCACGCGTTAGAACGCATGCAGACTGTTCTAGTTTCTTCGGGTCAAGGAGTTCCTGAAGCTCCTCTCTGCCTTTTCAACACCTCTCTTACTGTTTTGTTTTTTTTTTTTTTTAATATAAATAATTACTTCTGGGTGGGCACTGTGGCACCGGGGGTTGAGCCACTGCTTGCGACACCTGCATCCCGTATCAGAGTGACTGGTTTGAGTCCCAGCTACTCTGGCTTCTGATCCAGCTTCCTGCTAATGTGACTGTGATGATGATGATGGCTCAAGTACTTGGGTTCCTGCCACCCATGTGGGAGACCCAGAGGAAGTTCCTGGCTTCTTTACAAGAATTACTTAAAAAAAAAATAAAAAACAAAAATAAGAAAAAATGAAAAAACAGAGTACTTTTACTTTTTAAAGATTTATTTACTTATTTTTTTGAGAGACAGGCAGAGAGAGAGAAGGAGAGCACCCATCTGCACTCCTCAAATGCCCACAATGGCTGGGACTGGGCTGAGAGCTGGGAACTTACTGTAGGTCTTCCTCATGGGTGGCAAGAACCCAACCACTTGAGCCATCATCTGCAGCCTCCCAGGGTGTGCAGCAGCAGGAAGTTAAAGCCACCCCTAAAAGTCCCCTCTAAATCAGCAATCGTGACCTACTGAACCTTCATATCATCATATTACTTCCTTTAGGAACCAAGCGGTATCAGTCCTGTTTTATAAAGAAACAGCTGACGCTGAGTGTGCGTAAGTAGCTCAGACGAGGCCACACACAGAGCCTCACAGATGGAAAGGTCAGGGTCTGAACCAGGCAGGTCCACAAACCCCACTCCCTGCCCATCCTATGCTACCAACAAGGACCAGACCCCTTTCTTGTTTGTCTCTGTGGGCTCCAGTTCACACATGACACGTGAAGTTCTTCCTGTCGCTGTGCACCTGTGCACACGCCCCCAGCGCTGATGTCCCCCCGGGGCCCCACAGGAGACAAACAGCAGAGCCTGCATTTGGCCTTGCCGGGGAGAGCCCCAGCACTGATGCCTAACTGCACACAGGCTCCTGGGACCACTCATTCCTTACAGCTGCTCGTCTTGCTCTGATAGTCTGCTGTAGTGTGGGGCTATTTTGGGCTTGTATATTTTTTTTCTATGAGAGTGCATATAATACCATGGTAACCAAATTATATTTTCATTTATTCCCATTCCATTTTCGGTTTGGTATTTAAATAACCCGGCAGAATTTGAATCAGATTATCTTCCCTTGGTAGCTGCAGGCTTCACCCCCAGTCTCCCCAGGCGTGGTGTTTCTCATGTTAGCTTCCAACAGGGATTATTCATCCTCATTTTTGAGTCCCAGAGAATAGTGCCTGTCATGTACAGTTAAGACCATCACCCTTTTCTCACGCTGTCAGCCACACCCCTCCTTCCCCACCATCCCCACAAGGCAATCCCATTGATAAAGTGGGCAGCAGGACAACAGGACGGAGAGGAGTGTCAGCCATCCACTGCCCTTTCCCTTGGCTTCCTAAGAACGGGGAGAAGAGCAATGCGTCATGGCAAGGATGGTCAGGGTCCCCGGGCTGGCACGAGGGCGTACACAGAGGGGTGGGCAGGCTCAGTGGCCGCCTTTAGGGGAGACAGGTTTATTTCCAGTCCATGCGCACTCCAGTTGAGCAAAACAGCTCCTTATCAACAGATGTTTTTGGATGTTTCTGACATTTTGGCAGCAAACCCGGCTGTCAGGCATCAGACACACACCTAACGTTTAGATCCCTGTAGCAGACATGGAGTGGGTGCACTGTGGACCTCATGTAATCGTCACAGAGCAACCCGGGGTGCCTACAATGGCTGTTGCTGTCCGTTTAGAGAGAAACCAAAGCACACCCATGTCAGGCAACTGGCCCTGGGTTACACGGCTGGCAGGAGGGGGAGCTGAGATTTCAACCTAGGCTGCCTCTCTCCTTTTGAGATTATTTATTTATTTATGCGAGAGTCGGACAAAGAGGAAGAGTTCCCATGTACTGATTGATTTGCCAAATTTCTGCAGTGGTTGGTGGCAGGGCAGGGACTGAAGCCAGGAGCCAAGAACTCAATGCTGGTTTCCTACTCAATGCTGGTTTCCTACGCAGGTGGCAGAGGCTCAATGACTTGACCCCCAGAGGCTGCCTCCCAGGGCTTTGTAGTAGCAGGAGGCTGGAATCACGAGTGGAGGTGGGCACTGAACCCAGATGCTCTGATCCGGGATGCAGGCACCTTAACCCACATCTTAAACATCACACCAGACACCTGCTTCTCCCGTCCGGCTCCTGAATACTGTTCTCTGCTGACCTTCTTCTGCGGAGTTGAGGGCCTCCGAGTGCTTCAGCACGACACACTCCACCCACATCAGAGGGAGGGTCAGCTTCTTGGCTCAACTCCCCTCTCAACTCCCACCCTGGTATCTTCACATCTGGAACAACGCCGAGTACATGGCAGCTCTCCAACTAATAACGTTATTGGCTTGAATAAATACATGCCCGAATGATTCCCTTTCAAATCAAGAATAATGCATTTACTTTCTAGGGCCCATTCTGATGGGACAGTGAAGCTCCCGGAGGATGATGGGAGGGAGCACGGGAGCTGACACAGCAGCGTGGGCAAACCCTTGATGTGTGACGATGCTTGCACCAAAGATCACAAAGAGGAACAACATGGCAGGTGCGCACGGCCAAGTACCAGTGCAGAATCACCAGTGCCCCTGTGCCCAAGGCGGCGGCTGGGTTTCAGGGGAAAGGAAACGGATCTCTGGCTGCAATGTCATGATTGCGGCTGCTCCGAAGCCAGGGAACAGCAGAAAATAAATATTTAATGGGGGGGGAGGGGGTGGGCAACCTCTCCCAACAAGCAAAAAGGGTGCACACTCACCTGCTCTGAAAAAAACTGGAAGCCCTTGTCCTCACGGATGCACTCGTAGGTTTCTCCGAGAACCGGGTTGAAGGGCTTGCTGCCGGCCCGGAAGTAGCTGGACGCGTACGCGGACACGGCAAAGGCAGCCACGTACACCTGAGTACGGGAAGAAAAGCGCCTGTGACTTCTGCCCCCGAGAAATCCATTTTCACAAAGAAACCAAAGAACAAAACTTGAGTTCTCCCTGAGTGGTTTTATTTCAAAGGCTTGTCTTTGGTTTACAGAAAACCCAACCCACACAGGCCTAAAGTTGTCGTGCAAACAGTGTTCATTTGGGTCCACAAACAAATGAACCAAACTGCCCAAGTCGGAAGATGCTATTAACACGAAGACAGCTGCAAGACGAACCGTGCTGTTTTATGAACTGGTAAGCCGACGCCAGTATGTCAGAGGCTGATGTTATCTGAGCATCTTGCTGGCGTCGCTTTTGGGGACAAGGAAGAGCAAGAGCATTTCTTTTGTTCTAATAGCCAAATTCTCCCCCGGAATTCAGGACTGAAGTATAACCTTTCAAATTTGATACCCTAGAAACCTAAAAGCTCCTTCTGACCAAAGAAAATGGGTCGGAGTCACTTCCCATGCCTGGCATGCAGTCACAGGACATGGGGGCCTTGACTCTCTCCTCTTCTGGAGGCGAAAACAAAAACAACAAAACCCAAAAAGGCAAAACAGGAAATGACAATGGGCAAAACCATTTCACAGCCCTCACTGTGTGGACCTCTGTATTCTTCCAAAGATTTATTTATTTGCAAGGCAGAGTGACAGAGAAAGAGAGGACGAGAGATCTTCTATCTGCTAGTTCACTCCCCAAGTGGCTGCAACAGCAGAGGCTGGGCCAGGCAGAAGCTGGGAGCCAGAAACTCCATCCGGAGCTCCCATGTGGATGCAGGGGCCCACGCGCTCAGGCCATCCTCTGCTGCCTTCCCAGGCATGGGAGAGGGAGCTGGATCAGAAGGGGAGCAGCCAGGACTCAAAGAGGCCTCCCACGTGGGATGTCAGAGATCCAGGACCAGCCCCACCGCCTGCACCACACAGCAGCCCCGGCCGTCCTCCGGATCTCCATCAGCCCCCTCGCAAGGCAGCAAAGACATGTGAGCACACTCCCACTTTTTCTTTTCTTTTTCAAGCCAAAAAAGTTAAAGCTAGGTGGTGCCGGCAGATTTCCTTTTCTAAAATCGAATTGCAGCGATCTCAACATTTTTCTTCCTAGCACGCTTCGTGACATTTTATGCTGAGAACAAGTTGAGTCTCTTTTGGAAATGCATGCTGCTCACACAACCTTCTCCATGAGTCTTTTGCGAAGGTTTTGGGTGCTGCTCACAGCAAAATCCACCTTGCCAGGGCCCGCTGCAGATGGCTGTGGAGTTGCTGGGTCGCGTACAGACGCCAGCCCACCCATCGCTTCTTGGCCTTTTGGCTAAGTCCAAGTGCAGATGCCGGCCCACTGTACACGGCATCAGTTGCAGCCATGCTACCTGTGCCACTGAGACCCAGGTATCTGCTCCTGTCCGTGCCTCCTAGGGCTGGAGACCTGTGAGGCGCCAAGGTTCCAGGTCTGTGTGCGAGGCTGAATCAACCCTCAATCAGCCTCGTGGTTTAAAATATTAACGACTGGTGAAACAACCTAGTGTCACTTAGCACCCTGAGTGCAGAAGGGAGCCCCAGGGTAGGCAGGAGAAGCACCTTTGTGCTGGGCTTGGTGACAAGTATACACTGACCCACAGGGAAGCAAACCGAATCCATGAAGGGTAAGGTTAGCGCTGAGAAGCAAGGTCCTCCCCAGCCACCTGCTCAAGGCCAATCAGAGGGATCAGGCATCTGAACACCTAAGGGTCCCCACATCGCGCCAAGCATGGAACACCTGAAAGACTTTCTTGGATCTTCCAAGTCAATCATTTTCTTTAAAAACACAGCCATCAGGAGTGCGGACTTGTAACACTTGCCTTAACAGTGGCTTTTTTTTTTCTTTTGCAGGGAAAAAATAACAAAGATTTTAAAAATACACAGTTTGGGGCCAGGCATTGTGAGTTAGGGGATAAAATGGCCCATGCACACCAGTTCGAGTCCCAGCTGCTGCATTTCTCGCCAGCTCTCTGCTAAAGCGCCTGCGAAAGCAGCAGAAGATGGCCCACATGGGAGACCCGGATGCAGGTTCTGGCTTCTGGCTTCAGCCTGGTCCAGCCCTGATTGCTGCAGTCATCTAAGGAGTGAATCAGCGGATGGATGGAAGATCTCTCTGTCTCTCTATGACTTTCAAATGAATAAATCTTTTAAAAAAGAAAACACAGTTTGTTTTCTCTCTGCCCCATATTATGGCTGGTTTGAAGAAAGAGTGTGATGCGGAGAGGCCTGGGGAGCCAGTGGAACATCTAGGGCAAGAGCAGGAGGTAAAAACCCCCTGTGGTGCAAACACCCAGCATTGAGAAAAGGGCAGCTCTGGGAAACCCAGAGGGCACCCCAAGGCCAACTCAGCCAGCGGGCAAAGGCCCAGGGGACACTCAGCCTTTCAGAGACACGGATGACCCCAGCACCACATGCACGCAGCCATTTGGCTGTCTACCCGGTAATGTCCGAAACCAGGGAGGATGAGGGACATCTGCAGCCCCCTTTGAAAGCGGAGAATCTGTGAGTGGAGCTGTGTGACACCAAGAACAGCACAGAAGGTGGAGAACAGAAGGTGGAATTTTTCTAGGCTGAACTTTTTTTTTTTAATTTACTTTAAAAAGTAAAATAAAAAAAGGAATCTTTCTGATGTGGAAATCCCTTCTGGGAATGCTACTGTCCAAAAACCTAGGAATGCCTGGGACAATTCCAAAAAGAAACAAAAACATTCTCAAGGGAAATCTACCTAGGATGGAAAAACCAGCTCGAAAAGTTAACTTCTGTCCACCTAGAGGTAGTAGAAATAAACAGGCAGGCAGCCCTAATTCCGGCCAGGTGTGGCAGAGCTGTCAGCTGGAAGACCTGGGAGAAAGGAGGCGGCCAGGTCCACCCAGCGGGACGCCCCCAGGCACTGGGGCCAGGGAGGAGTGTCCCTCCCCTCTCCCCCTCCCTGGGACAAATCTTGGAGCCAGGCAGGCCCAGGGTGACCACGCAGAACCAGGCATCTCTGGGGAGTGAACCTATCTACGGCGCCATCCGCATGGAGCCCCAGGGGACGAGAGCGGGCCAGGCGGCGGGCTGGGCAGCAGGTGGGCGGCGCGCTGACCCCTCACCATCCTTTCCAGGGCGCTGGGAAGCCGCGCGGCCTTGTCCAGGAGCTCGCTGTACTCCAGCTCCTCGCACAGGCGCTGCAGTGTGTTCAGGGGCTCGTTCAGCTCCACGGGCATGGCCACCTTGGACAGGTCCTTGCCTATGTTGTTCCTCAGAATGTTCCACAGGCTGACGTTGCTGGAGCTGGGGCACGGCGCGGGCAGGCAGGTTCTCCGCGTGGACTTCACTGCCCCAGCACCATTGTCGAGAATGGGATCTGAAAGGGGGAGAGGCCTGGTTGTCTACACAGCTGTTTCATTCTGTGGTTATCTTTTCAATCCACAGCCAAAACTTTACCCAGCAGGGACGCAGTCTGGCTGTCCGAGTGAGTTGTCCACAATATGATGAGAGGTCAGGAAGGGAGTAAAAGAATTCTGAGCAATTAAATACCGAATGTCACATGCATGGAAACTCACGAGTGTGTTCACAGGGGCCCTTAAGTCCTTACTCCGAAGCTAGTTTCTCATAGCTCATATACGCTAAGGATAAAACTGGAGAGTGGATTTCTATGCCTACAGAAGGGGACTGTTTATAAAGCTTTATAAACTTTCAGAGAAATCACTTCAAATTCTGGTAAACAATTGTGTTGATTACAGAACACTTTAAAAGGCAATCACAGTCATCCATTAGTCCTTCACCCCAAAATGGCCACCATTCACATCCTGGAGTATCTCTTAGTATGCTCCATCCACAGAGCTCTCCTACGCTATGCGGTTTTCTGTCCAACTTAACAGAAATGTCACTTCCATGTTACCTAAAATTCTATGGAAGCATCATTTTTAATGACTGCAAAAATACCTCCATGTTATAGATATGCCACAATTTACTGACTCATTCATCTGCTGCCAGACTCTCAGAGCTAGTGTTCTGTTATGACACAATGACAAAAACCAACAACAAAAACCAACAGTGAATCTTCACCCACTTAAACGCCTGCCTGCAGCTCTGATGATCTTGAGATACGCAGAAGTGGGACCACTCTGTCCAAGACTGTGGATGTCTTTAGACTTTCAATGCACATAATCAGACGACTGCTCAACAAGGCTGGACCGATTTTCCCATTTAAGGGCAGCATCTATTTCATTTTAATTTCATCATAATTTTCATAATTTCATAATTTTTATTTTATCATGAGTTTCATTTCCCAGGGCCTCCCAGGCCTCTCATTGTTTGGTTTAAATTCCTGTCAAGTTGTTAGGCAGACAGCGTGGTCTCCTCATTGTAACTCACATTTAAAAAGCTTCCAGTGTGGCTTGGAATACTCTCCTTTCATTTCAGCATTTCTTCCTTGCTGAACTGTATGCCTTCTATTTAAGTAGAGGAGCAGAATCTTTGGTTTTTATGTCCGTCTTACATCGTAATCCTCACCTGGATTGTATTTGTAAATCTGGTGCATGGATTTTTTTGGTGAGTGAAACATTTGCGTGTTGGGCGTGTAAATTTATTATTAAGCTTCCCTTTACTTAACACTCTGAAGTTCCTTTCCCATCCTAACCGTGCCTATTTCCAAATAAAGTCTTCTGCATTATACCAACATAGTTCATTCGTGTGCACTTATTTATTAACCATAAATATTTAACATATACTCATTATGGAGCTAATCACTCTGAATAAAGAGGCTGCTTTGATGAACAGAAAAAAAATGAAATTGAGGTCAAACTGTGCAGTCTCATTTTCATCTAAGCATCCAATTAATTTTTGAATTTGTTTTAATTGCTTAACATAGGCAAAACCTGACACATAAGTGGGTGCATATGATAGTAATTTTTAAAAATAGCTTTCTGTGGAGAATGAAAATATTCTTTGATTACACTAATCTAAATTATCACAGAATGTTATTCTACCACCATCAACAAATATTACATATACACACATTTTGCCTTTTACATCGTGGCAGGCAGCCTTCTTTTTATTTTTTAAATTAATTTATTTATTTGGAAGTCAGAGTTACCCAGAGAGAGAAAGAGAGGTGGAAAGAGAGAGAATCTTCCATCTGCTGGTTCACTCCCCAATTAGCTGCAACAGCCGGAGCTATGCCAGTCTGAAACCAGGAGCTTCTTCTGGGTCTCCCATGTGGATGCAGGGGACCAAGGACTTGGGCCATCTTCCACTGCCTTCCCAGGCCATAGCAGAGAGCTGGATTGGAAGTGGGGCAGCTGGGACTCGAACCGGCACCCATATGGGATGCCGGCACCACAGGCAACAGCTTTACCCACTGCACCATAGCGCCGGCCCCGGCAGGCAGCCTTCTAAGCAATTTCCATATATTATTCCTAATTATTCTAACAACCTCCCGAGGAAGTAGCATTATCATCCCCATTTTACAGAAAGGAAATGGGGCCCAGAGACATTAAGTAACTTGCTTTAGAACAAAGCCAGCGAGAGGCAAAGCTGGGGTGAATGGAGAAGTGTGGTCCTGAATCAACATCTTTAACTTCTTAACTCCCACAGCTCCCAGAACAGTGATGGAGCTTCAGTGTGTGCAGTGACTGTTTTGGGGGGTCGGGGTGGGACTGGGGAGTTGGCAGGAAACATTATAAACTTATTATTTACGCATTTACGATGACCTCAGAGAAATTCTAGTGTAACAATGGATCAAGACCTTGATCCCATCCTAGTTCCTTGGTAAGCAAAACTGTGCTACAGGGCATACAGGTGTTCCCACTCCCCTTATCTTTAGCAGAGTACTGATGTTTAGAAATCCATTCCGGGCCAACACTGTGGCATAATGGGTAAAGCTGCCACCTGCAGTGCTGGCATCCCATATGGACACCGGTTCAAGTCCCAGCTGCTCCACTTCTGATCCAGCTCTCTGCTATGGCCTGGGAAAGCAGTGGAGAATGGCCCAAGTCCTTGGGCTCCTGCACCATGTGGGAGATCCAGAAGAAGCTTCTGGCTCCTGGCTTCGGATCAGCACAGCTGCAGCCATTGAGGCCAACTGGGGAGTGAACCAGTGGATGGAAGACCTCTCTCTCTCTCTCTGCCTTTCCTTCTCTCTCTGTGCAACTCTGACTTTAAAATAAATAAATAAATCTTTAAAAAAAAAAAATCTGTTCCTCCTCAATGTCTACAAAACACTGGACAACATGTGTTCCCAGGATCCAAACACAAACAGAAAGCCAGGTGAGGGCGGGGGTTTGCTCAAGCTGTGCAACGCTGGTCAGCATCCCAGCAAAACAGCCGTGGGGGAAGAGAAACTGGGCCTGAGAGTCTTGGGGGCTTTTCCTGGCTGGCATCAGCACAGACACAGTCTCGGGTCTGGACCATGTCCACTCTTCCCAATTCTGACCCCTGAACCCTCCATTCACTCTCTGCCCTTTTGGCTCCCTCCCTATGTCCTCAAGGAGACAGTGTGGCCTTCCTCACACACAGGGGGAGCTCGGAGGGTGATTTGCCAGGGCAGGAAGTGATGTTTCTTCCTTTCTCTTTCATTCTGCCTCCCTGCTTCTCTAAAAAACACAAGCAGCACATGAACTTGACCTTCTCCTAAGAACCCTTTTTTTTTTTTTTTTTACACTTTCCACCAAGGGGTTCAGGTTCATCTCTCCAGAAACAATGCAAGCAAAACACCGGGCATGATGAGCGTCTCACTTATAGCAGATGCGATGCTGAAAGGCCACTCCTCCAGTGGGCGAGAGAACTACCTGCATGTTGTCTATACTGTGGTCCCCCAAGAGGTGGCTCTTCAGTGTCCAGACAACAATTCATTATCATGGCTCACACCTAACCCCTGAGCTGGGAAACCCTGCAATACCACAAAGGTCATAATATGGTCCCTGCCCTCCAGTGACATAAAATGGGCCATGCTTTGTGTATCTAGTGCACACAGCAAACAGACTAGAGGCCCCAAGGCACACTGAGTGCCCAGACTGGGAGAGCTGGATGTTATAAACCCCCACGCAGGGAAAAGTATTTTTCAGGGCATCTTCTTAAACAGGTTCAGCCTGTTTGCTGAAGTCCTAATCAGAGCACTTCGGGAATAGGTAGGCACTTCAAATACCCCACGGTTCAAACCAGCAGTATGAAATGCCTTGTCTGACCATCACTTTCCCTTTTGGGATCAATAAGTTAGCAAGAGGACATCTAAAGGTGCCTTGAGAGGAGACAGAAATTTGGAAGTTAGTTTCCAATGTGTTCTCTTAATGCACCACTTAGATCAGATTTTTATCATATATACTCTACCAAATTCTTTCATTATAAACCCCCACCCCCCAGATACCTAAAGGCAAAAAGCTATTTACTAATAGATTTGCAGAGTGATGGCATAAGGGATGCGGGTGCATTGTTAGTATATTCACATAATAATTGGCTTATCCACAGTTTATAAAATAAAAATGTGCACAAGCAGACATGTTAGTTGAATGAATACATCTTCCAAATGTAGGTGCTGTCTTCTGACCCAGGGTATCAGATCCTGCAGGGTGAGGACCACGTTTTAATTTTCTTCCGTAGGAAGAATGCTGCCGTTCTCGGCATGCAGCAGGCAGGCACTGGGTACACATTTTATTAGTATTCTACAATGATGCAAACTTTCAGAGATCAGATAATGGAAATCTTACCCAAGGTCTGCCTCTCATTATCTAAATCATTACTGAGATTGTCCAAGGAAAGATTATCACTTATGTCACTGACGTAGGAATCGTCATCCGAAATCTACGAGAAGGAAGAAATTCGCATGTTAGGATAAGAGTTAAGAAGAGGCAGCTTTTCATAAAACCCTTACTCCAAATGATCCTATATTTTGAGTCCCACATTTCCAATCTGCAAACATAATTTGGCTGCCGTATTCAGAGGCTCATACCTCAGTTTACCCAGGAGGTGTTCACTGCAAACACCTGTTATTAAAATTCTTATACATTCTTAATTAGTTCTCCAGAGGAAAACTGCAAGTAAACTCAGGATTCCTGTGATTATTAAAAAATCCTTATCAATTCACACTGCATTTTCAGAAGTTACTAGTGTTTGGGTAGAAGGAGTTAATATTTGTTCTTGAGCTATTTGCAAACAGATCTTCTATGAGAATTAACACAGAAACAAGATCACTACCTCTATTAAGGGGTGAAATTATCAGTACACACATAGCAATGCTAACTAGGAAAGGATGATTTCTAGCATCAATCTAATATTACTATTTACTATTAATTAACATAACAATGGCCAGATTACAAAGGTTAATATAACTGCATATTATAAATTAATATAGGACAGATTCCATGGTTTAAAGAATGCATAGAATGGGTAATTGCTTTCCCTGTCATGGAAATACTTCATAATGAAATAGGTAGAAGTCAGAATTATTGACCATAATTGAGAAGAAAAGTAAAAATTAAGTAACAGAATTGAAGAGTAACCCAACACACTCAACTTCTACAGCATTTTTCTCTTAGTATATCGTATCATTTTGTGTCTGGGGGCTTCAGTTACCAGAGGACCGTCAGGATACAGTGGAGGAAAGGGGCCATGGAATTTAGCGTGGCTAAATGGGACTATTTACCGAGCAGGTTAATGAACACAGCAACAAAAAGACTGTTGAGACCCCTCAGTGAGAACAGCACTCAGACCTCATTTTCTGAAGAGCTTGGAGACAACAGGACTTCCTGGGCGTCAAAGAACTCCGACAGGGAGTCGGTGATGGAGAGCCGGCTCTCGTTGGACAGCTGGTGGACCAGGGCGCGGTTTTCGTCTCCGGAGTTCTCCTATCAGAAGAGCCCAAACAAAACCGCACGTAGTTAGGAAGAGTTCAGCACAGGCAAAGAAACACATGATTCAGCTGCGTCACTCTCAAGGTCACGGGCCCATGCAAACAAGCCACTAAAAGCAGATGTCAGCTCCAAAGAGGAGAAAAATGAAAATGAAAAATGAAGGTCCCCCGAGCAGAGCATGTCACTTGCAGGCACTGTCAGGCATGCCACCAATCTCCAAGCAGGTCAGTCTCTGTTCCATCTAAGGGGGGAGGGGGGAATTCCTGTGTGCCCTGAATCACATCCTCTTATTCTCTCCTGCTACAGGATGCTTATTTTTATCCTAAGATTTCCTCTGAATGACACTGAATGCATGTCCTTGCCCGGCTGGTTGAGAGTGGCAGAGCTTTCTTGTGCCCCTGGGTGAACTCAGAAGCCACCAGGCTGCCTTTGAGGTGTCCCTCCACAAAGAAACAATGTGTTTGGTTCCAGAAGAGCCCTTGAGGGCAGATCACTCATTATTCATGATGGATGAGCTGAGTTCTCTTTGTCTGGCTCTCTCCGCCCACATCATCTCATCAAGGGAAGGAGTTCCCTGGCTCTCTGGGAAAGCTCTACACAACCACCACCAGAGAACGGAGTGGCTTCCTCATCTCGCCTGGGCCCCCATCTCCACTCCTCTGGGTCTGGACCTGTCCCCTGGAAAGAACCTAAATACTCAGACTAAGCTTTCATCCTGTTTGCAAGTGAAAATTCAACTCAACCAATTGAGCGGAGCTGGCCATGGAGGGATTGAATGAGGTGCCAGAGAACGGTTCTGGCCTCAGTACCTGGAGCAGGGGACGCACCTCAACACCCATCAGAACAAAGCTGCGCAGGGGACAGGGCCACTGAAGTGAGACTGGCCTCTGATCAGGGGGCTCCGGTTTGGGGAAGGCTTCACAGGGGTGACACCTGACCACGCCCTTGAGGAAAAAGACTGGGGACAGGAGGATTCAAGGCCTTTGAGTCAGAGGAAAAGGCCACTCCCGGAGAGCTCCTGTTTCCCTCGGGGCTGATTCCAAAGTGTGACGCATCCCACGAGGAAGTCCCAGGATAATTTGGGGAACAAAAGGCAAGGTCTTGCCCAGTAGATTTATGAATACACCCCTCAGTGTCATCAACCCAGGAAGGCCACTGTGGGTTTTCCTAATCAACAAATCACAAGGGGTCCCTTTATGAAGTGTCTATTCAGGAAACACGGAAATGTCTATCCCTTTCTCCCCCGTTCTTCCTAAATAAGACATCTGCCTAAGCCAATAGCCCAAAGATCCGACCCATGTCACATCCAAGCAGCCCTCTGAAAAGCAGTTGTGCCTCTGCCCTCCCCAGGAGGTCACTTTAGACTCTGTAAATAAGGACCACTGTCCTCTTCCGGGGGAGGGAGACCGGCCCCGAGCGAGGAGCTGGAAGACACCCCAGTGATTAGCCGAGTTCTCTAAGGCTCACTTAAGCAATGGAATCTTCATGTGCCGGCTGCGTGAGAGGCCAATGATTTATTCACTCGTTCTACTCAATAATTGATCACCAGTCACTCTGCGCTCTCCTGTCTTCTTCTTCCTACCCTGAAGGCTCAGAAGGATTTCCTGGCTGATTAAAGCATTACAGGTTTCCCTTACCCCGAAAGCTCGGGAGCAGAGATGTTTTGGATTTTGGAATAGGTGCATGTACAAAACATAGTATTGCCAGCGCCGCAGCTCACTAGGCTAATCCTCCGCCTGTGGCACCGGCACCCCGGGTTCTAGTCCCGGTCGGGGCGCTGGATTCTGTCCCGGTTGCCCCTCTTTCTGTCCAGCTCTCTGCTGTGGCCTGAGACTGAGTGGAGGATGGCCCAAGTGCTTGGGCCCTGCACCCACATGGGAGACCAGGAGAAGCACCTGGCTCCTGGCTTCGGATCATCACTGTGCGCCAGCCGCAGCAGCCATTGGGTGGGGGGGGGAACCAATGGAAAAGGAAGACATTTCTCTCTCTCACTGTCCACTCTGCCTGTCCAAAAATAAAAAATAAATAAAACATAGTATCTTGGGGATGTGACCCAAGCGTAAACACAAAACTCACTCATGTTTGATGTGCACCTTATACATAGGGCCTGAACATAAATTTTATGCAATATTTTTAGTGCACTTGAATTTTGACTGTGACTCATCATGTGAGGTCAGGACTGGAACTTTCCACTTGTGGTGTTGTCAGTGCTCAGCTTGACTTTGGAGTACTTGGGGTTTTTGGATGAGGGATGCTCACTCTGTACTCCTGGCCCCCAGCCCTATCTGGTGTCCCCCTACTCCAGTGACTTCAAATGAACTCCAATAGGAAGCTCAGCAGGGCTGCAGCAGCTCCGGGCCTCATTTATTACAACCTTAACAAAGTCAGTTCAATTCAGTAATTGTCCCTTGTGTTTGTACTGCATGAGGGGTTACTAAGCTATTGTTCATATTGCAAACAAAATCAACAGAAAGGCACATCCTGTAATACCATCAGATGCCCAGCATTGTGATACAAGTCCAATCCTTGTTATGCATATCGTTTTTCTTCCTTTGGAAATCACTGTAATCACACAATATAAGCACTGGAGGCATCACCTCCCTCCCAGGCTACACCTTAGCAGGAAGCTGGATCACAAATGGAGTAGTGAGTACTCAAACCAGCACTCTGATATGGAATTTGGGCAATCCAAGCAGTACCTTAATACTTACCCCTGGGTTTGTTTTTACTTTTTATTAAACTAGGATGAAAGTGTTCATAGCCTGTATATCATCTGCTATGTTTAATTACCTTTAAACTGTGAACATTTCTTGGGCTACTAAAGATTCTTGGAGACAAGGAACTTTAATATTTCTTTAGATGTGTGGGTCATAGAATAACAATTCTCTTTCTTGGAAATTAAGGGCAATTTTGGATTTACAAAGATGGGGAGTCTATTTGCAAGCATTGTCTTTGCTTCTATTTTAGTTCTTAGAATCAATCTTCAGGTGAATTATTAAAAATGTTTAAGGCGGCCGGCGCCGCGGCTCACTAGGCTAATCCTCCGCCTAGCGGCGCCGGCACACCGGGTTCTAGTCCCGGTCGGGGCGCCGGATTCTGTCCCGGTTGCCCCTCTTCCAGGCCAGCCCTCTGCTGTGGCCAGGGAGTGCAGTGGAGGATGGCCCAGGTGCTTGGGCCCTGCACCCCATGGGAGACCAGCAAAAGCACCTGGCTCCTGGCTCCTGCCATCGGATCAGCGCGGTGCGCCGGCCGCAGCGCGCCGGCCGCGGCGGCCATTGGAGGGTGAACCAACGGCAAAAGGAAGACCTTTCTCTCTGTCTCTCTCTCTCACTGTCCACTCTGCCTGTCAAAAAAAAAAAAAAATGTTTAAGGCAAAACCTATACTATAAGCAACACATGCTTAATTACACTCATAAGGAAGAAAACCCCTACTTTCTCTACAACTCTACATTAAGGGCATCGAACATTATAATGCAGAAAAACTTTTAAATTAATCTAATTGTTTCAACTTTCATGGTGCTGATGAATGAATGATTCTTGGATACGTGAATGTGGGCAGAAGGGTGAATGGGACCTTCTACTGCTTTTCTTTGCACCTTCCTGTGAATTTATAAAGAGCAAGAATTAAAAAAAAAATCCCACAACCATCTACATTTGGGAATTTGTTGAGAATTATGCCAGGGCTGGTGCTATGGTGTAGTGTGTAAAGCCACATGTGGGCTCCAGTTCAAGTCCCAGCTGCTCCTCTTCCAATCTAGAGCCCTGCTAATGCACCTGGGAAAGTAGTGGAGGATGGTCTAAGTGCTTGGTCCCCTGCACCCAAGTGGGAGGCCCAGATGAAGCTCCTGGATCCCTGATTTGGCCTGGCCCAGCCCTGGTCATTGTGGTCATTTGAGGAGTGAATCAGTGGATGGAAGCTCTCTCCCTGTGACTCCCTCTGTAATTCTTTCAAATAAATAAATAAATCTTTCAAAAAAAATTATGACCTTTGGGAGCATTGTTGTGCTAAAGTGGTTAAAGCCTCTGCCTGCAATGCTGGTATCCCATATGGGCACCAGTTCAAGTCCTGGCTGCTCTACTTTGGATCCAGCTCCCTGCTATTGTCCCTGGGAAAGCAGCGGAAGATGGCCCAAGTCCTTGGAACACTGCACCCACATGGGAGGCGTGGGAGAAGCTCCTGGCTCTGGGCTTTGATCAGGCCCAGCCCTGGCCATTTGGGGAGTGAACCAGCAGATGGAAGACCCCTGTCCCTTAACTCTGCCTTTAAAATAAATAAAATAATTTTTAAAAATATTTATTTATTTGAGAAATTAGAGAGAGAGAGCACTTCCATCTGCTGGTTCACTCCTCAAATGGCTGCAATGGCTGGAGCTGGGCCAGTCCAAAGCCAGGAGACAGGAGCCTCCTCCAGGTCTCCCATGTGGGTGTAGGGGCCCAAGCACTTAGGTCATCTTCCACTCCTTTCCCAGGTCATAGCAGAGAGCTGGACCAGAAGAGGAACAGCCGGGACTCAAACGGAACCAGAGCCCATATGAGATGCCAGTGCCATGGGCATTTTCCATTTACTTATTGAGGTCATAAGTTTCTGATATTATTTGTTCACTGCGGACATATTTCTCTGAAAATATTTTTCCTAATGTACTATTTGCCTTAATTTTTTGACAATCATTTTTTTTCTCAGATTTAGTTAACAATTCTTTTGCAATCTTCTTTTCCATAATTCAGGAAATTCTCCTCCAAGTTTGGTAAATATTTAAATCAATATCCTTCTGTGTCAATTTTTATATTTAACTCAAATTGGCTGGTGATTCATTTTAGTGTGCAATTAAAAGATCTAAATTTCCTTTCAAATTGCTTTGGCCTGCACTGACCTAATTTATCCATCTCTTTCTCATTGGTTTTTGATGCCTTTTGTATTCCTATACTTAATTCTTTCGTATATAAAATGCTCCAGTGCCCCATTCTCACACCATTACCCTCTGACTCTCACCCTGGAGCTTCAGGAAGTCTTCCAGCGTGGTGTGGCTTTCTTCATTGTGTAGCAAAGTGATGCTATTGAGAAAACCAGTGCTTTGGCCTCACTACACATGGATTTCAGTTCCAGCTCTCTCTCTCCCATGCTACGTGTCTGGGCAAACTACTTAAACCCTCTAGGCTTTAATTTCCTTGTCTCTTAAATGAATCTATCACCATCTACTACATAAAGTAGTAGTTAGGGTTGTGAGTTAATACATTCAAATGCTGGTGGAATCTAGAAATATAGGAAACAGTTGGCAAAGAAAAGAACTAGATCCTTTTTTTCTTTCAGATTTTTCTTTAAGGTTCTTTCTGTTTTCGTATCTTAAATGAACTTTCTTTTCTTTTCCTAGTGGTCAGAAAAATATGTATTTTTAAAAGATGAACTTTAAATGTTATGGGACGCTACTTCTGAAAATCAATTGGCCTTTATTTGAAATCTGAAATAATACAGAATAATCTAAGCACTGAAAATGTGATAATAGTAAATCTTCACATTCAGGAATATAAAAATAGGACTTGACAGGTTATGGGGGTAGTTTCTAATAGGAAAGGGGGTATTTTATTTTTTAATAAAAATTATTTTTTATTATCTGAGAGGCACAGAGACAGAGCCAGGCAGAGAGAGATCTCTCATTCACTGGTTCCCTCCCCCAGATGACTGCCATGACCAAGTCCACACTAGGCCAAAACTGGGATCTGGGAACTCAGTTCTGGTCTCCAATGTGAACAGCAGGGGCCCGAGTACTTGAGCCATCACTGGTTGTCTCCAAGGGTGCATGGTAGCAGGAAGCTGGAAACAGGAGTGGAGTCTGAACTGGAACCCAAGTACTCCAAAATGGATGCACGCATCTCAACCAGTGTTACATTCACCGAGTCAAATGCCCACCCTGGAAGGGGGATGTTTAGGAATTTAAGTGGAGGCCGACGCTGTGGCATAGCCGGTAAAGCCGCCAACTACAACACCAGCATCCCCGTATGGGTACTGGTTTGAGTCTCGGCTGCTCCACTTCTGATCCAGCTCTCTGTTACGGCCTGGGAAAGCAGCAGAAGATGGACCAAGTGCTTGGGCCCCTGTACCCATGTGGGAGACCCAGAAGAAGCTCCTGGTTCCTAGCTTTGGATCAGCCCAGCTCTGGCCATTGCAGCGCTCGCTCGCTCGCTCTCTCTCTCTCTCTCTCTCTCTCTCTCGCTGCTTCTGATTCTCTGAACTCTGTCTTTCAAATAAATAAATAATAATAAAAAACATTTTGTAAAAAATTCAAGTGGTCAGGCCTGACACCAAAGGTGGGTCATTTGTGCAGCTAAAAAGAGGTAACAGGAAGTAAGCAAAGACAGCAAGAGGTCCTCGAAACGGGGACCTCACCCTGACCACAGGGCAGGGGCTGGCACTACCCAGCAGAGTACTATTCAAAGTGCCTGGGAGTCACCACAAACACGGACAGGAGTTTTCCGTGTGGGCAGCCATTTCCACCGACTCCGGTACCATTTCCTGGAGATACCAACAGCTTTTCCTCTGCCGGGAAAGTCAGCGTGAGTCACTTGGTGGCAACAAGGATAAAACACGGGATGCAGAGTCTCCCAGAGAGGGAACGAGACAAGGGCATCCCTGGTTCAAGTCTCAAGGAGGCCGCTTTGGGAGGTGGGAGTTTGAGGGGTGTGGCTGCCACCCCTCAAGGACACTGTCGCTTTTGAGATCAGGTTAAACATACGCATTTTAAAAGAGCGGTGATTCCGGACTTCTTCCCAAGATACACAAAGCCCCAAATATACACGCTGAGCATGAATTCAACAAGCCTCAAGTAAAGCTTATCTAACTCTTTGCTCTGTGGATAAATGTGATTCATGTGGCCATGGCATTGAAAAGGCAAGCACTCTCAGGAAACATGCATGAAACCAGAGAAAGGCCTGGCAGCTAACAGCCCTGAGGGACAGCCACTCGTGGCCGAGACCAGCCCGGTGCTGGCCCATGAGGTGCACGTTCAAAGCGGGGCTCGCCTGGTGAGCACTTGTCTTTGTCTAGGTCTAAAGCAGAGGCCACCTGTCACATTAGGGCGCTCAATCCTGCACGGTGGCTGTTTGGGTCTGGGTTCTATTGTCTCTGGGGACAATGGGTCTGTAGAATTCCCTAGTCCATCACTGCCACGGCCGTATAAGTATACTAAACCAGAGACTCCCTGCAGAGACGGGGCAACCCACCCCATCCCCCCTCCCACCCCCTGCCAGGCAGAGGGGCCATCAGCAGGAGGCACTGTCTGTACTTCATCTGGAGCAGCCACCTGGGGTCTCTACTGACTTCAGTGCCCCACTCAACAGCTTCCCAAAGTGGGAAGGAGGCTGGGAGGGGCTCGTTTTCCTGGAAAGGAAGGAGGATTATAAGAAAATATCGAAACATCGGAAGCTTCTCTAAAAAAATTTCCATACACATATGTGCTGTGTCTCTTACCTCCCTTGCCTTGTTTTTTTAATGCACTCAGTCTAATAAATTGGTTCCTGAAACATCTGGCGCATTGGAGGCAGCCAGAGATACACATGTGCCCTTCTGACTTATTTGTGGCGGCATGCACCTGCGTCTCTCTCTTTCTCATTCGAAACGCACCCCCGACCTTCAGAAGAACCAACAGAGCTGCTACAGCCACAAGGCAGTGCTTGCCCTGAGAATGTGCAGAGAGAGGCACCGGTGGGAAGGGAAAAGCCGCGGAGAACAGGGCAGGGAGGGTGGGGGTTGAAAGCACCTGTCGCCCCCTGGAGGCCCCTCTGCAGCAACACCTGTGCAAGGGGTGATGTTTAGGACGCCATGAGGTGAAAGCAGGCCAAAGCAAGACAAGAGCAGCTGTCAAGTGCGATTGGCGGCAGGGGCTCAAGAAGGCTTTGGAATCCTGAGAGCTAGGCATGAGGCAGGGGTGGCCGCGGCAGAGATGTCACCAGCCCGGGGAAACCTACCCACCTCTGCCAGGCTGTCACCGGACGTGGCACCGGCGGGGGGCTCGAGGAGCAGAGACTCGGCATGGATTCTGCGTAAGCGTTCTTTAAGTTCTGTGTTTTGTGCTAGGGCCTGGAACATGTTAAAAAAAAAAAAAATAGTGGGCTCCATTAATGAGTGGATGCTGCAGAGATGCACAGCAGTGGGCCCGGCCAGGAGGTCCCTGAGAGCCCAGGAAACCTCCCGGGGATGCAGTGGCGCCCCCTTGAATGCAGGCACAGGGGTTGGGAGTTGAGCTGCCTGTGAGGGAACCGACAGGAAACTTGGTGGTGGAGGGCAGGGAGAGGGGTCCTCCCTCCAGACAGGGCAGGCAGGCATGGGCCACACCGGCCCCTGCACAGGGTCTCCCAGCGTCTCCTCCTCCTCTGAGACTTCCACTCTCTGTTCCCTCCTCCTTGAGAACAATGGCCCCTGCTCCTACAACTGGGCCAATTTCAATGTGATTTAATGGTCACACCAGTGGAATCAGACCCTTGTGAGAAGAATCAGACCCTGCTGAGAAGCAAAACTTTGTGGGAGACCAGCTTTGCTTTATTCCAATAGAGGCGGGTTATTTCACTCATTCTTTAGGATTAAGGCTACTGCTTTTTAAAACCAGATTACAAATGGCACTTCACTTACCTGTACAAGGACTTAAGGACCATAGCCCTGGCAATGGCAATGGTCGGACGTGAGATGTGAGCATCCACAGTGCCACCCCAGGCCTGCTTCGTGTTCCCCTGCACAGGGCCCGTTCCTCAGCCCCTTCGACAAGGAAAGGCCTGGCCAAAGGTCAAAGGTTTCCTTCGCAGCCCACAGGCCCCCAGTGGTCTGTCTTCTCAGGGGACAAGGTACCCTGAGGGGTCCCCCAGACACTCCCAGAGTGAGCTCCCCAGGGGCCTGCATGGAGGTCCACCCTGTCTGTCTTCCTGACGTCCTAAAAGTCAGGCTTTGCCATCAAAGGACTGGGTCTTGCTTCGTCCACCGCCCGCATCTCCAGCAGTGGCGGAAGCTTTGGTTTGGGTGCCCACAGAAAGAGGAGGGGTTATGTGAAAGCCTGCAAGGATTGCTTAGGAAACAGTGACCACGGAGCCCACACATGACAACCTCTCTGGGACATTCACTTTCTCTCGGCCAGGACGCCACGGGTACAGGGGCTGGAATCTTGGCAGAGCTTGAAAACTGCACTATGTTAGTAGCTTCTCTTTCCTTTGTAAAGCACAGGCAGAAGAAAGAAATATACCAAGATGTCACTATATCAATATGTCATCTATGTATCATTGGTGTGCGTGTGTGTGTTACACCAAGATGTCACTATATCTATACAGCATCAATATATCATTCTCAGAGGACTCTAAACATTTTATTTTTAAAAAGCAAAGTTGAATCTAACTAGGAATCCAAGACCCACCCCCCAAAAGAGGAGGGGTGGGAAAAACCCTTCTGTTCCATCATACAAATCCAAAATTATCAACCTGGGTGAGAATGAGTTCTTCAGCAAAGGTGAGAACAACGCTGGCCCAAGATACTTCAATGGGCACACGAGCAGATCAACAGGTGAGCGCACGCCTCCCTGGGAAGAGGGCAGGGAGGGGACGGTCGGTCATGGAGAAACGAATGTCTTTGGGAAGCCCAGTGGAGGCATCTCCCAAGTGCACTGAAAGCCAGCCTAATGGGAACAGTAAGACGTGCACTGGACCACCCAGAAATAAGCTTAGAAACCCAAACACTTTGCTGTTCTCGAACCAAAGTAGTGCCTGGTGTGTAGCCTATGGTCCACCACAATCCAAAGGGGTTTCTCTATCTCAGACCAGGAGACAACATTAAGACTCTATCTTGTTCAATTCTTTTTTTTTTTTTAAAGATTTTATTTATTTTATTTGAGAGTTAGAGTTATAGACAGTGAGAGGGAGAGAGGGAGAAACAGAGAGAAAGGTCTTCCCTCAGTTGGTTCACTCTCCAAATGGCCGCAATGGCTGGAGCTGCACCAATCCGAAGCCAGGAGCCAGGTGCTTCCTCCTGGTCTCCCACATGGGTGCAGGGGCCTAAGGACTTGGGCCATCTTCCACTGTCTTCCCAGGCCACAGCAGAGAGCTGGACCGGAAGTGGAGCTGCTGGGACTAGAACTGCACCCACGAAGGATGCTGGTGCTCCAGGTGGAGGATTACCCTACTGTACCATGGCACCGGCCCCTCTTGTTCAATTCTTAACATTGTTTTTAATTTTTCTTTCAAAGGTAGCATGCTTAGAATAGTTCACTGAGTGAGCAGTCCTTAAATATTGTACAACAATCATATGTGCCACTGGTAAAAGAGTTACCACTAACTTTATACCAAGAGAATTACTTGTCTCAGTGACATAATGAATAGAAAAAATACATGGACATTTTTTTCTAGATCTCCCATGTCTGTCTTTGTTTCTGGGAACAAGATTCTACAACTCATCTCCTACCTGATCTGAAATAGAAATTTCAGTTTTGCTTCTGGTGGCAATTTCGCATGCACAAACACTCTTTCTTTTTTTAAAATATGAATTCCAAAGTATAAACAAAGACTACACACAGGAAGTATGGTGCTTCTAAACTTTTCTAGCTTCTCAACAGAGTGAATAATCAGATAACTTCAGCTATTTCAACAGCAGAAGGACAATCTCCTTAATGGAGCCCGACTATTCTGATGAATGAATCGAAGCTGATGAGGAGGGGAGACAGAGCGTGCGAGAGAAAGGCTAAGTGCAGATCATGAAGGCTTTCCTGCTGTTGCAGACACAAGGCTAACCTGACAGACCCCTGCCTATGACTCTGCTCTAGACGCTTTGCACTGTCTTAACAGATGGAATAATGTCCCTGCCCTTGAAGGAGCCCTCAGCTGGCTCACTGCTTTGCAGGAGAGCAGCTAAGAGTATGAATGGGAGCTTTGCTGGGCCACCTGGCATCTGTTAGGTCGGTCTATGGCGTGTGGGGTCTCAGGGACACAAAACTGCTTCCCAACTGTCAGATTTTGTGAATGTTAACAAACAAAAGCCTGTAAGACAAACACACAAACACCCCACACAAGTCTGATAGGAATGGAAAAATTGAGATGAATCAGAGAAAACCAAACTGATAGAATTTAACAGTTGACAAAATACTAGGTACTGAGATTCGGAGTAGGCTGGGTTTTGGTGCTTTTGGTAACCAGATCCTATGAAAGACTGGAATATTCTTTGGGTCATTTGTTTGGTTTCTCATGCATTTCTAACACAACTGCTGATATGGAAAATATAAAAGCTTCATGTGCTGGATACATTTCCAGGCATTTGCATGACACAGACATGTAACTTACGGATGACAGGGCGTGCTTCAGACCGAGGACCTGAGCGGAAGGGGAGGGCGAGGCATCATGCTCCATCAGCTGCCTCAGTTTCTCTCTCTCCGCTGATATGGTATTAAAAGCTGACCTTAAAGTGAAGTAAACTATAAAGATACAATCATTACACAAAGCAATAAGAGGCATAATTTATAACAGAACACAGAAAACTGCACTTCTCATGGCATTTAGCAAAGTGACAGCCCTGAATATTCTGAATGCAGCAAATGTACGCTCCACATTGACTTACAAAAAGACACTGCAAGGCACAGCACCCAGAGTTCACCCTGACATAAACTATGGGCTTGGGGTGGGACAGATGTGTCCCTGTAGCTTCATGTACTGTACCAGATGCACCTCCCTGGTGTGAGGTGCTTGGTAGTGGAGGCTGCACCTGCAAGGAGTTGAGGGATTGATGAGAACCCTCTGGATTGCCTGCTCAATTCTGCTGTGGACCCAAAACTGCTCAAAAAATAAAGTCTACTAAAGTTAACAAACGTATGCACATGCATGTGGCAATTCTAAGGCCCCCATGCACTCTGACAGCCCACGATTTTACAACCTGTCATCAAGATGGTTTGATACTTGGAATATGCTCTGCACTCTCAATGATCAGCATTTAGTTTGCTTTATGTACCCAGAGACTGGAAATGATTAAGAATAAAATTATTGGCTATTAGCTGAAAAATGATAATAGTAATGCAGCCAGAAACCTACACAGCACCTTAACCAGGGGCTCAGAATTAATTACAAGTGAGAGTCAGATGGACTCTGTGTGCTCTCGGGTGTGATGCCCTGGAAAAGGCACAGTCGCTTCTCTGCACATCTGCCCTGGGATACGCAGACAAGCCAAGATGAGGAGCCTTCTGTTTTGTTTTTTGTTTGTTTTTTGTTTTTTATATTGGCCTGTATTCTTCAAAAGCATCAGCTGAGGAATTGGTCCCAATGAAAGGCAGCTAAAAAGCATAACCGGCCACTGCAGGGTGTGGTCATGGACCAGATCCCATATTCAAGGGGAAAGGGTATTAAAGACATTATTAGCACCATTGGCAACATTGGAATGTGGAAAGTAGGAGAGATGAGAGTATTGCTTCAATTATTTCCTGAACTGGATAACCATACTGTGTTATATAAAAGAATATCCCTTGTTAGAAATAAAGAATTAAGCCATAAAAAATGACATGACGGGGGCCAGTGTTGTAGCCCAGAAGGTTAAGCAGCCGCCTGCAATGATGGCATCCCTACCTGCTTGCTATCCAGCTCCCTGCTAATGCACCTGGGAAAGCAGGGGAAGATGGCCTGAGTACGTGTTTCCCTGCAAACCATGGGAGAGACCCAGATGGAGTTCCTGACTCCTAACTTCAGCCGGGCCCAGCCATGGCCGATGTGGCCATTTTAGGAGTGAACCAGTGGATAGGAGATATCTTTCTTTGCCATGTCTCTCCCTCTTTCTCTGTAACTTTGCCTTTCAACTAAATAAAAGAAATCTTTAAAAAAGAATGGCATCAGGGCCAGTACTGTGGCATAGTGGGTAAAGCCGCCACCTGTAGTGCCGGCATCCCATATGGGTGCTGGTTCAAGTCCTGGCTGCTCTACTTCTGACCCAGCTCTCTGCTGTGGCCTGGGAAAGCAGTAGAAGATGGCCCAAGTCCTTGGGCCCCTGTACCCATGTGGAAGACCCAGAAGAAGATCCTGGTTCCTGGCACAGTTCTGGCCATTGCAGCCAACTGGGGAGTGAACCAGCAGATGGAAGGACTCCTCCTCTGAAACTCTGACTTTCAAATAAATAAAAAAACCTTAAAAAATAAAATATGGGGCCAGTGTTGTGACGTAGCAGATAAAGCTGCTGTTTGCAGTGCTGGCATCCCACGGGCACCAGTTCAAGACCCAGCTGCTCCACTTCTGATCCAGCTCCCTGCTAATGCTCCCAGGAAAGCAGTGGAGGATGGCCCAAGTGCTTGCACCCACATGGGAGATCTGGAAGAAGCTCCGGGCTCCTGGCTTTGGCCAGGCCCAGACCTGGCTGCTGCTGCCATTTGGGAAGTAAACCACCAGATGCAAGGTCTTTCTCTCTCCCTCTGTAACTCTGCCTTTCAAATAAATAAATGTGGCAAAATATTAAAAATAATGAATTTTGATATTATTCCTCCAACTTTTCTCTAAGTTTGAAATTATTTCAAAAGAAGGTGCTGCCTGCCCTCTTTGTTAGCTCGTCCAACTGCAGAACCAGAATCCCCTACCTCATCCCGGCATTCAGCTGCCCTGACCTTGAGCGAGCATTCAGGGGTAATGAGAGCTTAGTACTGTCAGGTATCCAAGTGCCTAACTGGAAATTCTAAAACACATTAACACATAAGGCCAAAAACTCATCAGGGTTTGATTGCATTATGTGTTACCTGTTAGAAAGGAGAACACTGCCATCTAAATGACTGACTGTGGATATCCCGTGTGAGTATCATCTTTCCAGTCTCCTGTATGGTATTTGTTTCAGAAGACAGGGAGAAGGAAGAGCCTGAGACAGACCTCTTCTCAAATGACCTGGCGTGTGACTGAATTCCACAGGTTCTCCTTTTTAGAAGCGTTAGTATCTCAGGGTGGCCTAGGCAGTAGCACAGAAACTAAATGCGTGTTATTGACTTATTTCCTTCACTTAACAGCCAGGAAGATGGCTGGACCTCTCTACGCTGTCACTGCACTTGTCTGAGGTTGTGGCATTTAGTGATGGCCCTAGAGCATCCTCACAAAGTCACAGCCCTCATCTCTCTCTCTCTCTCTCTCTCACACACACACACACACATACACACACACACACACACAGTTCACAGCCCTCATCTCTCTCTCTCTCTCTCTCACACACTCTCTCTCTCTCTCTCACACACACACACAGTGCTGATTCAGTCAACAGAAGACAAAGAGGAGCGCAGCAAAGGGACCAATACTCGGGGCTCCACCATCAGCACCAGGTTTGCCTGCTCCATCAGTTATGCACACCATGACCTTGAACAGGTACGTGGCTGCTTAAAGCCCAGCACCTCGTTCACAGGTGAGGATAATGAGAGCACGTACTTCTGAGCTATTTGATCTATAGGGTTCGTGCACGATGGGGACGAGGATTCAAGAAGATGCTGCAGGGAAAGCCCTGAACCCAGTGTGCGGCATGTACCACATAATGAACGTTCCCACATTCATGACGAGGGTGGTGAGAGCTACACGAGGACGAGAGCAATGGGGACTGTGGTCTGTTGAGATCTGGATGCCAGCTCTGAGTCAACGCTTTAGGACTGCACTTGTAATTAGGTGCACATGGGACAGAGGGTCCGTGAACGAGGGACTGGCCAGAATCTGTTGAGCAGAACAGACTCGGGGAGAGCAGCGAGGTGTGCGGTGAACTCGCTTTTTAGACAAGCACCAGCGGCCAAACCCAGCCCCCAGCACAGGCTCACCACAGCCACCTCTGCGGGCTCCGGGGGCGGCTACTTCCCTGTCGTGTTCATTGCTCCAAACAAAATACACACAGTGCTCAGCTGGCCGCCGTTGCCCCAGATGAATTCCGCTGGCTTTCAACCACACTGAAGATTTCTACTGAAATTTTAAAACTGGCTGGAAATACACAGTTTGTTTCAAAATGCATAGCTGAGCAGACTGAGGCGGGTATGAAGTCAGCAGAACGAAATTCCTGCACAGGGACGCTTCACTGGAAGGGGTGACACTCCCCCTCCACGGTGCACCTGGCTGACAGGTCACAGAACCAGTTCCCCAGGCACTACGTTTCTCCGACGACCACAGAGGACAGACACTACGACTGTCACTCCCAGCCACCTAGTGATCCAGCGCCCACAGAGCCACTGTCAGAGGCTGCTCAGGGGAGACAGGAATTGTTAAAGGCACAGGGCTCTCCAGAAGTTAGGCGTAAGCTCTGTGACAGCAGTGTTACTTTTTTTCTAACATGATTCTAAGTTCATCAGAGACAAACACAAAAGTTACAGTGGGGCGGGCACCTGGTGTTAGTAGCTACAATGTTGCCTGGGATGCCAGCATGCCACATCAGAGATTTTGGGTTTGGGTTCTTGTTGTGTTTCTGATTCAGGCTTTCTTCTAATGCATACCCTGGGAGGTACCAGTTAATGACTCAAGTAGTTGGGTGCCTGCCATCCACACAGGAGGCCTGGATGGAGTTCCTGGCTCCCAGCTTTGGCCTGGCCCACTCTGGCTGTTGAAGGCATTTGGAGAGTGAACCAGCCGATGGAAGATCTGTCTGTCTCTGCCTGTCTACCTGTCTCTCTCCCTCTCTTCCAAATAAATAAAACTTTTTAAAAAAGTACAAGATCCAGATGAGTGTATCAGGCTTGTGGATGTCTGATGAGCTTCTACACTCAGAGCCAGAGAGAGCCTCAGAGGCACCGCCGCACCTGCCCTACAGCATGGCCGGCTCCCTCACCAGGCTCCCAGCACAGCCTTCCCACAATACACGCCTGCTCCCATGGCAGGACGCTCTGCCTGGGACGTACTCGGTCCTTCCTGTTGCCAAGACATCAGCTGCCTCCCTGTCCCCTCAAGGCCAACCAGAATCATCTCCTCTCTCATGAGATGTTCATCGGAAGGCAATGAGGGCTCCTCCGCTTACTCCTCTCGCGCCCACACTGTCCTCAGCCCCTCCACAGACCCTCTTGCTGCACTGTGAGTGCGGGACATGGGCTGACTACCAAAAAAAAAAAAAAAAAAAAAAAAAAAAAAAAAACCACAAACAAACCCTTAATTTGCATCCACAGAATGGAACACCACAAGCCTCAAACAATTGACTCTCGGTGGTCTAGACCTTTCCCCTTTCTACAGGCTCTGTAATGCACCATTGCTGAGTTGGGACAGCGAGGGTGTCACGGGGACCCACTGGGAGGGTGGCAACAGTGAAGCCTGAAGGACCACTGGACTCTTAACTGACCTGAGCTCTGACTTCAGCAGCTCCTCAGCATCTACAAAGTCAAGGCCTCGAGGGACGTGGCCATGAATGCCACGGGACTGCCCCTTCGGGGATGCAGAGCTGCAGGGGGAGTCCTACTGCTACCTGCTACACTTCATTGCCATTCAGATTGGAAACTTTGTTTTGACA